TTATACCAATGAAAATAGTTTCACCTTTACCATAATAAGAGAAATGGACTTTTAAATGATAATGCAATTCTACTTTCACCAACAGATTGGTAAAGATCAAAGAGTTTGATGACACATCTGAATTGGCAAGGCTGTAGAAAGGCTCATAAATTGTTGTGAGAAAGTGGACTGGTACAACTTGAACTGGTACAACTTCTCAAGAGGGTAATCTAGCGATAACTATCGAAATTACAATTGAATGTATATGTTGGTCAAAATTTACAGAATTGTACACTACAATTGTAGTATAATTGTATGCATTAGGCCTGAAGTGTTCAAAATAAGAATGTTTTGTGTCTTCAAATTCTATATTGTCTTTAGAGGGAGTGAGTTTGATATATACTTACCGGAGTGCAATAAACTCCCAACATATATTTAGAAAAAATTGTGAAGCATTTCATTGTAAGTGTTTCCTACAACTCAATAGATGATTTGAAACATGACAGCATTTACATTTCTAGGAATCTTTGCTAATGCTTTGTTTTTAAAAATTTATAGTACTGTTAAGTAATTTGTTTTACATGGAAAAGTGAAAGACCCTTTTTTTTTAAATTAACTAATTATATCATCTTCTCTTCATCTTGACATTGTTTTTCTCTTTTCACAAATCATATTTTGTATATATTTTTATGGACCACTATTGTACATATACATACAATTTAAATGTCTTTTAGACTTTCAATCATGTTACTGTAACTTAACCATTTCTAGCTTATTGAAAATTTGATTGTCTCCTATTTCCATAAAGAGTTCTGCACTTATTTGGGCGGGGGGCTGATATACTCCCATAAGTGGTATTTACTAAAAAACAAATAACAAAAGAACACCACTTTTAAATTTTATGTTTATAAGTAGATTGCTTTTTAAAAGCATTTACCATTACAAATAACTATCAGCAATGTATTATTATATTTGTTTCTCCATAGACTTGCTAATATTGACTATTTATGTTTAAGATTTTAAAAAGCGTAAGTTATTTGCTAAAATTTTTTAGTTGTTGATAGACCTTGTTTTATTTATTTATATGTGGTGCTAAGAATCAAAAACCCAGTGTCTCACAAATGTCAGGCAAGCACTCTACCACTGAGCCACAATCCCAGCCCAGTCTTGCTAAATTTTTATAAAGATAATTGAATTTTTAATTTAAAAATATATATGTATACAATCATTTTTGAATTCTAGAACAAAATGCAATTCACTCTTGTTAATTTAACTATTTGTCAAAAATTTATAAAATCAAACATTTTTTTTATTACAGATAATTTGTTACTTATTTAATTTCTCCATAGATATGTTTTAGTAAGTATCAACAAAGGAGTACTTAGTATCAACAAAGGAGTCTGTAAAGGCATGGCTTAGGACACAACCAAATCTTATTTATTTTTCAAAACTGAAGGACATTTTAGGATGAAAAGTGTAATTTCTTTGCTTTCTTACTTTATTCAAAGCATATTTCTTTACTGTATAGATGTTGAAAATTGATTTTTATTGCTTCCTATAAATGTTACCAATATATCTGATTTCTATTCTTTATTTTTATGTAGGTCATATTCACTTCAGTTAAGCAACAAAATACAAATTAATTTTAGTACACCTGTGAAATTAAAATTTGTCTTAAAAAAAAGAAATTTTAACACTAATAATTTTCCTTTAAAATAGGCAGTACTCAGCCATAGGCAGGTGCAGGGCCTTTGCAGACTAAGCTTCTCCCGAAAGCTCAAGAAGTGCAAGCCTGAGTACCACCAGACATCATGGAGGAGCTGTTATGGAGCCAACTCTATCTAGAGGGTTCCCTGGAGGAGTTCTGTACCTTTCTGATGAAGATGCCAGGATTCTTAAGTTGTCTGCATATGCAAACGTAGATTTCAATTATCTGGAGATATTCTTGCTTGCTGAAACCCAAAAGCAAGGCGGGAACACATCTGACCAAGTTGCTGTCAATTCTAAATTCTGAAAGAGCCACAAGACAGAAATCTAAGAGAGCTTCTTGAACAATAGCTGTTGAGACAACAGACTTTGGGGCCTGAGATGAAGAGGCGATGGTACATTAAGGCCCTTGTCTCAAAGATAAACCCTTGTTGCCATGTAAAGCTGGAACTCAGGAAAACCATACAGGGATCTGAATTTCTGTGTTTGAGATTTGATGAGATCAAGATCAACTAAATCCTGAAGAAATTTTCCAAGTAGAAGAAAGTATAAGATGCAACTAGGCTAACTGAAGATGAACTAAGAAAGAGTTTGGAGTTGTGGAAACAAAGGTGTCCACAGTTCCTCTCCACTGATCCACTGACCTGCTTTACTTTTCTCCTCCTCCTCCCCCTCCCCCTCCTCCTTTTAAATCTTGTTTTCCCAATGGTATCAAATGCTTAAACTAAGAAAATTAAATGTAACAGATGAAAGTCTCCTCTGGCTATTATGCTTATTCTTTGTAACTTATTTCCCTCCCAAATGTAACCACTACTAGCAACACAGTATGTTTTCTTATGTTAACATAAATGTTACAATAGTAAACAAACCATGACAGAACTTGTGCTTTTCTTTCATCAAAATGGCTCAGGGAGGCTCAGGCAGGAGGATTGGAAATTCAAAGCCAGCCTCAGCAAAAGTGAGGTGCTAAGCAGCTCAGTGAGACCCTGTCTCTAAATAAAATACAAAAAATAGGGCTGGGGATGTGGCTCAGGGGTTGAGTGCCCTTGAGTTCAATCCCAGTGCCCCCACCCTGCAAAAAAAAAAAACAGTTTTGAGATTTTTCCATGACGTAATATATTTTCCCACAGTTAATGGCATTTAAATACTACTATCTTTTGTGGCATAGTGTATTAAAGAAATCATGCCTAAGGATGCCTTGAAGAGCTTGAAATTTGGTGATTTCAATAATATGATCCTCATATTATTGGTCAGAGATTTCAATTTTGAAATCATGTTATCATGATGGTAACAGTAGTTCCTTGGCTGATCTTTAAATTAGTGAGTATTTTCTGTAGTTGATTTTTATTGGGCTTTTTGTAAATAATGATGCCGGCATACCATGTATGAATTGATGATGATAATGAGTGTCCACCACTTCATATTGAAAACCTTAGGGTAATGGTCGAATCATTAAATCTGTAAGTCTTCATATAGTTTCTTGCCTAGTGCATTGTAGGTGCTCATTCACCATTTGCTAAATGTTAAATGTTATTTGCCATTTGTCATTTTAGTCTATTCAGGATGTTGTAAGAAAAATGTCATAAACTGAAGCATTTATAAAGAACAGAAATTTATTTCGCACAATTACACACACTTGGAAACCTAGGATCAAGAGTCAAGTTCAAGATTTTGGTGTATGGTGAGAGGCAACCTTCTAGACAGCAATCTTTTCCCTGTAATCTTACATCTCACTCTTTTCAATGTAGATAATTGCCAAAAAACATTGGGCCTTTGCCTCTGAATCCTCACAATTAACTTATTCAACTTAGAAATTCCCAGAAAATTTACTAGATATCATGTTAGTTCTTAAGCAAAACATAGCCAAATCACTATTTATGGTAGTTGAATTTGTAAATGAGCATTTCCTATTGATAACGTTTGTAATACAAGAAATACTATCATCAGGGACTAAGAAAGAAACCATATTGTTAGGGTAGCTGCGCAAATATCTATGAGAGGCACATCTCTGAGTTCTAGCAAAGGTTTATTGACAGAGAATATCTGCCAGACTGCCCTTCTACAAGGTGCAGCAACCTGCTGGAAAAACTTAACTACATAGTAATGTACAATAGAGTAGTTAAAAAATAACCATCTGATCCCGTGATTATTATTTTGCATCTTTGCTGTGGTTTCTGCAGTTAGGGACTCTCTTGGGGTGGGCCTAAGCAAAAGTCATGCCTGGGTGGGCAGATGCTGATTTTCAAAATGGAGTTACTTTGGCCTAAGGACCTAAAACATATATAGAGCAATACCTTTCAGAAGATAAGAAAGAGTTCCAAAAAGAGGTGGCATTTGAGAATGATGTTGAATAAAGGGTAGAATTTCCATCAGGGAAGCCTGGTGGTGGTGAGGGTTGAGGTACTGAAAATGAAAAAGAATCTTCCAAAGTCCAATTTCATTTGAGGGCAGTACAGATGGAAAGGGTGTATTTTATTTATCTTTGCACAACCATTGGCATATTATAATGATGTTTGACACACAGCAGGACTCGAAAATGTGATGCATTGATTACTAATAGGAATATCAAATAGCTATATGGTAAATATTAATAAGTTTCTTATTTAATCAGCCCTTAGTAAAAAGGAATAGATCCCATTCCTGAGTTAGGAAAAAAATCAAAACAAAACAAAACAACAACAACAAAAACCTATAGGAAGGGCTGTCAGAGAAAAATTAAGTTTATCTAATCTATCAGCAAACTTCTTTATGTTTTGGCTTATGTGTTTGCATTTGTGGTACACCAAAACCTGAGTTGGATAGAGGTTGACTCGAATTTTCAGCAATTTATATGTGTCTCTCAAATATAATATCTGATTAAAAATGGTAAAGCATAGAACTACACTGCAATGTACGTGATATTTTGAATGTATTATAATGTATTGATTATTATATACAGAATAAGTGATAGTGCATGCTGAGGGCATATAGGTGACACTCTTGAATGAGAACAACAGCGAAGAAGGGGAATGCATTAACTGGTCCAACATGCAGGCTGTAAAATCCATCAGTGCTGGAGGAAATGCAACCCAGAAGTTGTAGCAGTCTTTCAATAAAAGCAAATAAAATCACCAAAAGCTTCTTTGAACAATCAAGACTAGAAGGATCCCCAGCGGCCGGACGTGCGGCCTGGCCTGAGAGCCTTCTTCCAGGCGCTCAGATGGGGCTCAGGGGCCTGGATGCTCACTTCCGCCCTTGAAGCCCAGCTCTTCCCGCCAAACTGGCTGCGGGGACCGGGGCCAGCGGGCGCCGGCGGAACTGCGCATGCTCGGCGTTGTGGCGCAATGGCGGGAACGGAGGGGAGTCTGTTGCGCCAGTTCCCGCTGTTTCTGCCCCAGAACCGGGCGAAAACTGTGTATGAGGGATTCATTTCGGCTCAGGTACTCGCCCAGTTGTTGCACTCTCGCTAAAAGAGCCTCCAGCGTGGCGCCCGGGGCTCCGGAGTCTGCGACGGGCGGGGGTTAGCGACCCGGACCGGAGGGGATGCAGCGGGACAGCGCGGGACGGGTCCCAGACGCTGGGGGGACAGCGGCTCCCTGAAGCCGGACTCTCGCCGCCTTCCTTCGCCAGGCGGCGTCCCCCTTCGGTTCGGTGCTGGTCACCCGCAAGCCCCCGCTATTTGTGTTGCTTTGGGGGGGAAACCTCAGTTTGTTCCTCTGCCGAATCCGGGGTACCTGAGCACCTCTAGCTGCGAGGTTTTGTAGGAAATCTTAATAACAACGGAATTAATTACCTGTTCCGATTCTAGCATTCTCATACGGAGTTCATTACACTAGTAACACGTGCAAGGTCTTGAAGTTTGTAGAGTGTTTTCCAGGCATAGTATCTCAAGCCTCAGCCGTGTGGCAGAAAAATATTCTGGTTTTGATAGTTGAGGAAATCAGATCAGGGGAGACAAGTTGAAAAACTTGTCCACAATCTTGCATCACCTTCCCTTAAACTCAGGCTGATTCCAATCCCGGATATTTTCCTTTCACGTTGTAGGAAGATATCTTAGGTTAGGATTTTGAGTGTGGACTTTTCCTCTCTGAACATGACACTCATTCCTGTCCCCTTCACTCCTCCCAGCCAGCACAGCATACGTAACTGTTTAAGGAGAGGGATGATATCTTAGCAATTACTTTATGTCTCAAAAATATTAAGTGCATTATCAAATCCACTTGCTAAATGAAAATTGTCCCAAGGAGTTTCAGAAGATGAAATTAATCAGAATGTTCAGTGATTAGTGAAAGATTATATTTACTTTCTAATTCATGTGACCATCACAGAAAGTAGAGATTAAAATTCATTATTACATATGGAAGAAAAACCTACCGTTCCTTCCTCAATTGTTGAATTACCTAGTTAAAAAAATACTACTTGATTTCATACAGTGGTTAGAAAAGTTGAAAAAGTAGCATTAAATTATTATTATTTTTTTAAAGGAATCCTGTTACACCTAGTTTTAGGCAGTTTTTGAGGGAAATACTTTATATATGTGTCTGCATCTGCTAACATCCTTTAGAAAAGTTGCAGCTATCAGAATTGGATGAAATTTTTAATGACCTTTGCCCAAAGTTACAATTCTAATTTGTACCTTCCTTAAATAGCTTTCATATTTTTTTTTTTTACTTAGGACTACTGGGGATTGAATCCAGGGTCTCCTGCATGCTAGGCCTGCACTTCACCACTGAGCTACATTCCCTAGCCCTTTTTAAATTTTATTTTGAAACAGAGTCCTCCTAAATTGCCTAATCTGATCTTGAACTTGCAATCCTTTTGTCTCAGCCTTCTGAATAGCTGGAGTTAAAGGTGTGGGCCAAAGCTCCCAGTTTAAGCAGCTTGTTTATATCAATCTAAACATTATTTGTCTAAAAATGTTTTCTGCATATTTCATATTTATAGAGAAGTAGCAAGGGTGACCAAAGAATTCTAGTATATTTATTAAAATTCATCAGTTTACATTTGACCCCCTTTGATTTATTCTTGAGTGTGGAATGTGTTTGTGGGAGCATATCTATTCAGTATTTTCCTGAACCATTTGAAATTAAACCATAGACACACTCTCTTGTTATCCCTAAATACTTAAGCATACACTTCATAAAAACAGGGATACATTTATACATAACCATAGTACATTTACTAAAAGCAGGACATTTAATTATGGTATAATACCTTTTCTAACCTAGAGTCCATATTTAAATATTGTTAATGGTATGTATAATTACATACTTTATACTTCCTTCATTCCCCATTATTCTGATGTAAAATCTTGAATTAAATTTGTCATGTTGTAGTGGCACCCCCTCCTCCACACACACAAAAAAATCTTAACTGGGCTTCTCCAGAAATCTTCACCATGGCTGATTTTAGGACTGTCAGCAAAAGAGTCTCTACAAAAGAGTTCAATGTAGATAAACTTCCTATTTTCTTGTTGCCCTATTTTACTTGGCCACTAGCCTGGGAGAAATCGGCACTCCAGGTGCTGGACACCCCTCACAAACATTTATCCAGTATAGTAGTTTGTAGATGTTGTCCTTATACATACTGACATGTAGTGTTTCTCATCATCATTTTTTTAGAAGTTATGGAATTTCTATTTGTAGTTCCTTTGAACCCCTGAGTTGTTTACTAGAAAGTTTTAAAAAAATTTTGGTGAAAGTTTCTACTATTAGATTCTTATCTCTTGAATGAGTTTTGGTAGTTTGTGTTCATCAAGGAATTTGTTCATTTCATTTTGGTTTTTAAATTTGTGAGCTTAAAATTTTTTATAATAGTCCCTTATTGTCTTTAGCATCTGTGATGATACTTCTTTTATTGGTTATCTTTTGCAGTATGATGATTCCAAACCTTAGTGGTTTAAAATTACAAACACTAATCATCTCTGTTTTAGTGGATCATGAATTTGGGATCGATTTAATTGGTAAATCTTGATTGAGTCTGTCACGAACTTGCAATAAAGTTGTTTGCCAAGATGATGACTTTGATTATTCAAAGGTTGAATAGTTTTGAGGATTTGCTTCCAAGATTATTCATACATACAGCTAGTGGCTTGAGTCTTCTGCTTTTGACAGGGAGCCTCATGTTCGCATCACATGGACTTGCATAATATTGCTTGACTGTCATCACAGCATAGCAGCTAGCATCTCAGAGTGAGTGATAAAAGAACAAGCAGAAAGCTGCACATTATCTTTTTTCCTTAGCCTCTTAAGTCACACGATTTTACCTGTATTTTATTCTATTTGTTAGAAGCAAGTCTTCAAGTACAGTCCATATTCAAAAGGAATGACATCAGGCACCAACTCCTAAAGGTAGAAGTCGTCAGATAATTCATGGATATATTTTTTAAAATGCTTTTTTGTTCTATTTCCTTCTATTGGTAATTTGTGCCTTATCTATTTTTCTCTGGGCATCTGGATACAGGTTTATCCAGATACCTTTGTGTTATTGACTTATAATTTAATATTGTATTAGCTATAGAGCAAACTTGTATGATTTTAACCCTTAAATTTACTGAGACTTATTTTATGGCCCAGAATCTTGTCTCTTTTGGTATATATTCTGTTTATACTTGAAAAAAAAATATGTTGCCATTGGATGGGGTTTTCTATAAATATGAGTTAGATCAAGTTGATTTATTACTACTATTAGAGTTTTTCTATACCCTTATTTTTGTGTGTTACTTGTTCTATCAATTAGTGAGGGGGTGTTAAAATCTCCAACTAGTAAGTTTTCTTATTTTACTTTTAAAATTTTTATTGGTACATTATAATCATTCATAATAGTGGGATTTCTTGGTAATGTATTTGTACATGCATACAATAGAAAAGTGTACTATTGTCAGTTTTGTTTCTTAGTACCTTCACTTTTCTTCTCCTGTTCAGTTTTTCAGTTTCTGCTTTCATTTTTATTAGTTTGTCCTTCACATAATTTGAAGTTTTGTTATTATTTACATAAACTTTTAGGGGCATAAACTCTTGGAAAATTGATTTCTTTATAATTATGAAATGACCCTTTTTATTCCTAATAATCTTTTCTTTGAAATCTGTATTTTCTGATACAAATATAGTGATGCCAGCTTTCTTTGGTTTAGTTTCTCTTTCCATACTTTAAACTTATTTGGATCTTTACAGTGAGTTTCTTTCTGGACTTTGCTTTTTTACGGAGTCTAACAATCATTGCCTTTTACTTGGGCATGCTTAGACCATTTACATTTAATGTGATTTTTGATATGGTTGGATTTAAATATTCTGTTTTGCTGTTTTCTTTTTGTCTAATGTGTTCTTTATTTTTCCTTATTTTTCTGCATTTTACATTCCTTATTTTTTTTTATATTCCTGCATTTTACATTCCTTATTTTTCTGCATTTACATTTTACATGCACGTTCTTTTTATGATTCTGTTTCATCTCCTTTGTTAGCTTTTTTACTATATGTTTGTCAGACTGTTTTCTGTTGCTACAACTTTGTACTGCCGACTGGATAATTTATAAAGAATGCTGTTTGTTTAACTAATAGTTCTGGAGGCTGAGAAGTCAGGAGCATGATGCTGGCCTCTTATCACCTTTGGCTAAGGCCTTCTTGTTGCATCTTTACATGATAGAGAACTTCACATGGTGTGAAGAGCAAGATTGCTGGCTTGGGTCTCTGTTGCTCTTCTTATCAAGTCACTAATGGCATCATATGGGCTCAATTCTCTTGGCCTCTTGTAATTGTTAATTATCTCCCATAGGCTATTAATATATGATTTAGAGAATTAACTTTCCAACACAAGAATTTCAGGGGACTTACCAAAGCCTAGAAGTATTTGTTTTTTGTGTTTGTAAGTAGCTGCTTAAAAGTTTATAGTATATATCTTAAAACTGTCATGATCTACCCTAAAGTAATATTAGGATTCTATTTTATATGCAAAATTGATTTATTAGCTATATGATTTTATCCCTCATTCTTTGTGTGTGTTTTCTTTAGGGCTCACAGTATGCATCTTTTAATTTATCACGATCTGCTTTCATGTATACCACTTCCTTAAGGAATCTTGTGACAGTGTACTTTTTTAAAAAATATATATTTTCAGTTGTTGATGGACCTTTATTTTGTTTATTTATTTATATGCAGTGCTGAGAATCGAATCCAGTGTCTCACACGTGCTAGGCAAGCACTCTACCACTGAGCCACACCACCAGCCCAGTATCATATGACAGTATAGTTTCATTTCTTATCTGCTGGTCCTTGTGCTATTGTCACATACTTTCTCTTATAATCCCACCAATGTGGTTATTGTGTGTGTGTGTGTGTGTGTGTGTGTGTTGCTAGGGATTGAACCCAGGGCCTTGTGCATGCAAGGCAAGCATTCTACCAACTGAGCTATATCCCCAGCCCAACCAATGTGGTTATTAATTTTGGTTTAGATGATTATTTTAATTAATAAACTAAAAATAGTTTTAGATTTAAAGAAGACTTGAACTGGTGATACTGCATTTCTATCCCCATTGCCTTTTCCACATAGTTTCTCCTATTATTTCTTTATTTTGGTCCTGGAAATCAAACCCAGGGCATTGAGTGTGCTAGGCAAGTGCTGTATCCCTGAACTACATCCCCAGCCCTCTGTTATTATTAACATCTTCATATTAGTATGGTGTGTTTGTTATAATTAATGATTAATGATTTGTTTGATGTTAAAAATATTTATACATTTATTAATTTAATTTCATACTTCATTAAGATTTCCTTACCTTTACCTAATTTTTTTCCCCCTCTCCTGAGATCCCACCTAAGATACCACCTTACATTTAGTTATCATATCTCCTTAGGCTTCTATTGGCTATGACATTTCCTCAGGCTTTTCATGTTCTTGATGACCTTGACTCTTTTATGAATATGAAATGGCTTGATTTTTTGAGGAAGTACAAGTTAGATTTATCATAGGATATTCATTTATTGGAATTTGGTTGATATTTCTCCTGAGTTAGGGTTATAGGTTTTTAAGAGGAAGATCACAGAGTTAAAGTACCATTTCATTTTATTAAGGGTACAGTCATTTAATATCACTGATGATGATTGATCCTGGCCTTGATCATTTTGCTGATGTAGTATTTGTCAGGCTTCTTCACTGCAGTCACTGTTTTCTCCCTTTTTAATATTATACTCTCTGAAAAGAAGTAACTATAAGCAGTCCCAGCTTAAAGAGTGGGAATTAGTTTCTCTTTTATGATTAATCTGAAATGCTGCATGGGAAATTTGTTTATTCTCCCTTATTTATTCATTAAATTATTTATTTACACAAGTATGATTTATGGGCACTTATTTTATATTTTGGTTTATAAACTAATACTATTTCATTGCTCAAATTGCTTTGCAACAGTCAGTCCCCCCCCCCCCCTTTTTTTTTAAGTCATTATCCTCTAAAAATATTTTTTTTTAAATAAAAGATCTTATATCTTTACCTATATATTTGCTGTATCTGGTATTTTTTATTATATATTCACATTTGCATCTTATTTTCTTTGTTCCTGAAGGTCTTCTGTTAACATTTCAGGATAGTACATGTCTGCTACTGATGGATTCTTTTAGCTGTTTTATGTTGAAAAATGTGCTTATTTGGCCTTTATAAGATAATTTCACTGGGTGTAGAATCTAGTTAACAGGTTTTTTTCTTTTTCTTTTTTGATTTGGTACTATAAAGATGTTTCACTAAGCCTTGCACTCTTCCTATGAGAAGTCTGTGCTCTTAGCTTTGTCCTCTATATATTGTTGTATATTGTCTTCCTCTGATTTTTATCACTGGTTTCAGCTAATTTGTGTTGTATCTTGATGTAATTTTCTTTCTGTGTTTTCCCAATATGGCTTATGGAACTTCTTTGATCTGTGAGTTTATATTTTCATTTAATTTGGAAAAAAAAAACATTAGCTGTTATTTCTTTAGAAATTTGTTCCTTCCTCTCTCATGTGTTGGGGACTTCCAATACTTATGTGTCTATTAAGCCACTTTAAGTTCCAAGTGGGGCTGGTCCCATTTTTTTCCCTTCCATCTCTTCCTGTTTTATTTTGGATATATTTTGTTGCTATGTCTCCAAGTAAACTAATATCTTTTATGAGGTTTCATGTGCTGTTTATACCATTTTGCATATTTTTCATCTCAGATGTTGTATTTTTTCATTTCATTAATTCAGGTTTTTTGTATCTTTCCTGCCTCTATGTAGTGTGATCATGCTTTCCTCTTTCTTCTTCAACATATGAAATAAAACTGTTTTATTTTTTGACCAGTTCTATCATCTGTGCTATTTTTGTGTCTGCTTCTCTTGATTTTTCTCCTCATTATGGTTCTTATTTTTTCTTGCTTGCATACCTAATATATCTTAATTGGTGTCGGATATGACATCTACCTGGTGCATGCTAGATGCTTTTGTTTTCTAAATATTCTTGAGATTTGTTGTGCATTACAGTTAAATTACTTGGAAAGAGTTTAATCTTTTCAAGATTTGCTTTTAAGCTTTGTTAGGCAAAACCAGAACAGAATTTAGTTTAATTTGGCTATGCCAGTGAGGCAATACCTTTCTGCATATTCTGCTTATACAGTATTTCCTAGAATACTTACATCACCTTTTCTTATGGTTCTCAGTTTAAATGGTTTTCTCACATCCATGCTGAAGTCTCCCACATAAGAAATTCTCTGAAGTACATGGGAGTTTTCTCTGTGTGTGCTTGTCCCTCTCTTTGCATCTCTCTTCTTGTTGGTACTTAATTATCTTGTGAATTCTACATGCTTTGGCCTCCTCTAACTTAACCTCTCTTCTCAGATTAGGGAGGCTGTTTAGCTGTTTGTTTCCTCATCCTTACCTGTGGCCTAAATATTTTTCAGGGAGTAAGGCTGGCCAATTATAAGGATTTTTAATTTGTTTTCTTCTTTCAAGGAACAATGTCCTGTGCTGCCTATTGTTTAATGTCTGGAAACCATTTTTACATATTTTTAGTCCTGTTTTTAAATTAAGGTAGACAGGGTAAATCCCGCCTCCGTCACTTCATCCTGCCTGAAAGCAGAAACACTTTAGTTTCTTAAAATTTTAGTTTCATTCTTTTTAATTTTTTTAATCTTGCTTTGAGATGACTGATAACAATCTTATTTTGTTGCCCATGTAAGTGTTTTGACCTTTTTCCTAGAAAGACTGAACTTTTTCCTTATTTTAAAAGTCTTTATTAAGATATATCTCAGAGTGGATCATTCTGAGTCATTTTTCTTGTGTCTAGTTGTCGCTTTTGTTATGTGGATTTCCAGAAAGTATACTTGGATTATAATTTTAAATATTTTTTCCTCCTGTCTTCTTCTCTAAGTCTTCCAATTATATGCATTTGGACTTTCTTTGCCTGATTTCATCTTCAACCCTTTTTCTTTGATGGCCTTTACTTTTTTTCTCATTTGGTAATTTTCTTGCTTTTTCTTACTCCTTATGAAATTTTTATTTAACTTTTTTCCTTGGACACTTTTAAATTTATTCTCCCATTTTAATAGCTCATTCATTCCTACTTTAAGAAAAAAACACTTTCTGATCTTAGTCTAGGTTTTCTCCTGGGTCTGTCATCTGAAATGTTTGATCTTCATTTTCTGCTTTTGTTTCATGGTAACTTTGGATTGATGGAAACATTATTTGTTAAACATTTTGACTATGTACAATAGTTATAAAATTCCTAGTTCAATAATACACTATTTACTGGTAAAGAAAAAAATGCAGTTTGTTTAATGGATGATTTGGGGTGGAACTTTTGAGGGGAGTATTATGTTCTTTTTTTCTCATATAAGAGCTTAAGTTTTCCAGTCTTTTTTTCTTCCTAATGCCCAGTTTCCAAAAGGTGTTTTTTACCTACCTTTTTACTGTCTTCTGCTTTTAAATCATTTCCTCTACAAGACTGTTTCTTTGACTTTTGTGTTCACATTAATCTTCTGTTCCTCGTAAGCTTGGAAAATCTGCTTTTGGGGAAGAGTTAATATTTTTTCAGGTGGTTTAACTACAAAAAGTCTAAATTTGGACATTTTTTTGAACCAGAAAAGTATTGTGGTATGTGACACGTCATTTGACCTCTAAAATAGTTCGATTTCACAAATAGGGAACTTTGGAATTTTATTCTTCTACTGTTCCTCAGGTAAATTGTGAATTGTGAACATAGGTTCTTACACCTATGTGTGGGATGTCTATAAAGTTAGGTTAAAGTTGCTACATAATACCTTTTAGTGTTTTAATGAAATAGTGAATTATTGTTACTTGACCTTTGAAAAGGTCAGTAGTACAGTTTGTTTCATTTTTTCAAAAGGACATTTAAATGTAATGAAAGTCAGAACTGTAATATTACCATGAAAGTAAAGGTTATGGGGTACATTTAATTGTGTTCTTCTGTTTTTGAATCTGCTTTGAGGGAGACTGCTAAAATTCCACATGGTAATTGTTTTTTCTTTTTTTTTTTTTTTGAGAATTTTATTACTCTTTTCATTTTATACTGTTGAAGCAAAAGATTACATTTCTGTTTGTCTTTTTCTGCTTATTTTTTTCTCAAATTTCACGTGTATTATCCTATTTAAGTTATAAAGTTTAAACTGCTTACCCATTCACTTTCTAAAGAAAGTAAAACTGAATATATTTCCCAGAGAACACTCTTCCCTTTCCTTAAAAAGAAACTTGAATAAAATTCTGTATATTCAAATATGTAAGTTTGTGAATACTTAGATTAAAATAAACAATATGTTTCTGCTTTTATCTATTAAAGGTTTACTAGTATGGAAAAATTAAATATATTCCAGTTTATGGAAGTATTTTATGTTGAAATATTTAAATTGTGTAATATATTTATGAAAATTTAGAAAGTAAGTGCAATCATGAGCAACCTGAGGGAATTTGTTTATTTCCTAAGAACATTTAAATTTCCTTTATATGTCTGCTAACAGTGTTGAGGTTGAATTTCTTGTATATAAGTTACTTTCTCTAAAAACAAGGTCCAAGTATATATGATTTTGATTTTGTAATATTTCCAAAGTTTTTGACATACATTTATGAAATATTTCCCCCCAAATCCTGTATTCCGTTGCTTATATTTTTTAAGTATAAAAAATTTGGGTAAATTTGATAACTTTTGGAAAATACTGCCTTTTTTGTGATTCTATGTTTAACTTCTCTTAGCATTAAGTAAAAGATGAAACTTTGAGTGATTTTTTTTTTTTTTTAAATTTTCTCTATAGGGGAAAGACTTCCACCTTAGAATAGTGTTGCCTGAAGATTTACAAGTGAAGAATGCAAGGTGATGTGATGTTTAGTGACATGCTTGTATCTTGGTGGAATAGGCAAGTGTGTTTAAACTGATTCTGGTGACTAGAGTTTTGTCTAATATGTTTATTAATGAATCCTATCAATAAACCTAAAACATTTCTGATTGTTTGAAACCAGTGGCATTTGTAAGTAATTTCCTTGCTACTTAAGTGCTTTTCAGAGGTAATACATTTTTTTTAAAGCAGTAAACAATAATTGTGTATACTTCCCTAATAAGAACTGAATAGAAGTTTAAAAGGATTAGAAATCCCCCCCCAACTTTGGACTGAGTATTTATATGTAATATAATAATATAATGTGACAAAAATCTAGTTTAGTTCTGTTATAAATTATGTTTAAATAGGGACAGGTGGTACAGACGACTAGTCAGAAGATGAGACTAGGTATTTAGGCATTGTCACAAATCTCAGTTCTGCTCCTAAATATCTCTGGAGTAGAGTGGAGGAATCAGAGATATTTATGTGTAGATTTGATAGGATTTTGTGATTGGAAGTGGCAGTAAGAGGGAAAGAGATTAGAGGATACTTTCCAAGTTCTTGGCTCAGATTATTAAGTTTATGAAGAGATCACAGATGGAAAAGTGGAAGGGAGATTGTTTTTAGGAATATATTGAGTGTAAAACATCAGAAGTAGCTATTTAGTAAGTAGTAGTAGTATATTGGTGTGGAATCTGAGTGAGCGATTTGGAGTGAAGTTATATGTGAAAATCACAGTTGGCATAGAAGTTGAAGCCGTCAGTATTAATAGATTTTCTAGTTTCTGTGTCTGTGGGGTGAAAAGAGAAGGCCAGTGATGGGATCTTAAGGGAGGGATTTATAGAATTTATAAGACTAGGATTGGCAAAAAAAGGAAAATTTGAACAGTAGGTTTTAAATAGGGATTGAAAGAAGGAATGGTTAGCCATGCTGAGTGTTGCAAAGATGAGGTTAGATATGAATAGATTTGTGCAGTCGAAGAAACTGGGTTGTTGGGGTTTTGACTGGATGAGTGGGTAGAAAGGGAATGGAAAATATAAACTACTTTAAGGAAAAGGGAAGGCATGTGCATTTAAGGAAGAGCTATGATTTTTTTCAAGATGATATATACTTAATTCATTAAGGAGAAAAACTTGCAGAGAGTAAGTTAAGGCTATCACAGGTAAAAAGATAATTAATGAAGTGACCAAGGTAGTAGCAAGGAATCCAGTGCATACTTGGAGAGGATGTTATCCATAGACAGTTGAATAAACTGCTCTGCATAAGGAGATGGGGTCCCTACAGGATTTAAAAGTTGAAGGCAAATTAATATAATTCCTTAGAGAAATTACTTACCTGCAGGTGAGGTAAGCCTAGTAGATAGATGAATTTTAACTTATCACTACTTATACAGTTCAAAGTATGTATTCTTTTGGTTACATTAATCTGGAAGTTGAATAAGAATATAGTGCTGTATATGTTTTTTTAAATACAATTTTGATGTACTCAAAACCTTTGGTTTTATTTAACCTACCTTTAAGAATTGAGTGCAATAGTAAACTTTGCTTTGGGTAATTTAAAGTTAAAAAGATGTACTGTTTGCCTGTCATTTATTGATTGTGGTTATTTATATTTCGAAGTAAAATTAATACTGACAATTTGAAGACAAGACTTTCAACAGTATAAGTGGTAAAATTTTATTAACTTGTCAGAATTATGTTTATGTCATTTTTTTGATCATATGTGCATGTTTGTGTTAACATACAAATAAATTTTCTTATTTTAATTCTGAACAATGAATAAAACCATTTTGTTTTGTTAAAATTTTAGATTACTATGCAGTTGGCAGTTGAAAGCTATACTTAATGGATACCATCAAATAGTCCAACAGGTAAGTCTTTTAAAGGTTTATGCTTTAAATGAGGATAAGAAAGTATTAAATTTACTTTTTAAAGCCCTGCTTTGTACTACAATGAGATTTTAGCTCACTCAATTCAGAATGGCAGTCATCAAGAATGCAAACAATAATAAATGCTAGAGACGATGTGGAGAAAAATGGAATAATTTTACACTGTTGGTGGGATTTTAAGTTAGTATATCACTATAGAAATCAGTATGGAGATTCCTCAAAGACTAGGAATGGAACCACCATATGACTCAGCTATACCACTCCTTTGTATTTATCCTAAAGAGTTAAAGTCAGTGTACTAAAGCAATACATGCATACCCATATTCATAGCAGCACAATTCACAATGGCCAAACTATGCAACAAGCCTAGGTGACCCATCAGTGGATGAAAGGATAAAGAAAATGTGGTATATATTATAAACAGCGTAGTTTTATTTAGCCATAAAGAAGAAGGAAATTATGTCATTTATAGGAACATGAATAGTACTTAAGAGTGTAATGTTAAGCAAAATAAGCTGAATTCAGAAGGTCAAGGGTTATATATTTTCTTTCTTATGTGGAAGGTAGAGAGGAAAAAGGAAAATAAAAGTGGGTGGGTGGAGAGATCTCATGAAAATCAAAGGGAGATCAGTATAGGAAAGGAACCAGGGGGAGGGAAAGGGGAAATACTGAGGAATAATATTTGCTAAATTATATTATTATATTGTGTTCATATACAAATATGTAACAATCCCACCATTGTGTACAACTAGAATACACCAATTAAATAGCATGGAAAAAAATCCTGCTTTGCAGAATGTTATAACAAAGTGGTTTCATAGTTGCTAAAGTTTTTAGGTTCCATCTCTGGCTATGAAATATTTTAAGGATCTATAGATTACACAAAATGGTTTCTGGAAGACTGGGGCTGTAGCTCAGTGGCAGAGTGCTTGCCTAGCATGTGTGAAACACTGGGTTTGATCCTCAGCACTACATAAAAATAAACAAATAAAATAAAGATATGCTGTCCATCTATAACTACAAAAAAAAAAAAAAAAAAAAATGGTTTCTGGAATCCTCAGCGGATTCCCAGGTAGCATTTGTGTTGTTGAAACTGATTTTCATCCTTGAGCCATTAGGCCCTTCAAATGGATTCATCCCTATTCATGTTTGTAGCTTTCTTGGTGATGTTTTTTTGTTTTTGTTTTTTTTCTCCTGAGACTGAATAGTGGTGACAGGAAAAATACAAAACAAAGCAAAAACAAAACAAAACAAAAAACCCTGGGCCCATTTAGCGCTGTAGCATATCTATAACAAAAATGAATCTTTTAGCTCTAGAATAGCAACAGAAAAGGTGTGAGAGAAATCACTTAGGATCAGGTGTACTTGCATAATGAGAGGAGAAATGATAGCCAAGGTGAGATACAGGCAGGATTAATTTAGTTATTCTTAATGTATATGGTCCTGTACCTGAAAATTCCTTGAATAATCAGAAACTTAAACAAAACAAAACAAAGCAAAAAAAAAAAAAAAAAAAAAAAACCTACCAATAAACAAACAAAAAACTCCATAATGTATTGAAGCAACTAAAAATAATGAATTGTCTCTTATAGAAAAATAAATGTTAATAGAATTGCATTTTTTGATTCTTTTATCCATTTGTCTTTTTCCTATTTCCTATATATTTTCTATCTTACAAGCAAGTTATGTGTGATAACCAACAATGAGAATCACTCACATAAAGCATTACTGAGTCATAAAGAAATACAGGAGATAAACTACTTACTTTGTAGAATATAGGCTGTGATAGTTGCAGAATAATTACAGCAGTTTTTTTTTCTTAATGGAATGTTTAAATTTCCTTTTTTCACTGCCCCTCCCCACATTTCTCTGACAATTTGTAGTATACACTGAAGTTTAAGAAATTAATCTATTGTGATGTGTAGTCTGGAAAAAAATGTTAAATCAATTATGTATAGCAGTAAAATGTACAATTCTGTTTTCCTCTACTAATTGACCAACAAATTTTCTAGAAAACATGTCAGTTACTTATCTCTCCCTGCCCTCCAACTGGTCAGGTAGACCTCAGTATTAGTTTGAGTTTTTGTTTTAGTCAAAGACCATTTGAATATTATTATTTTTATCTTGTCTCATTTTCAGTAAATATGGCCCAAGGGGTTAACAGATTTATTTCTGTAAAGAATAATAGTAACATCTTTAGATTTGTTGACCATGAATCTCGTCACAATTACTTTACCCCCTTCTTATAGCACCCAAGCAACCATAGACGAATGGCAAATGAATTTATGCCTGTATTCCTATAAAAACTTTATTAACAAAAATAGGTATTAAGCTGAATTTAGCTTCTGGCTGTAGTTTATAGACCCTTGATATAATTTGTTACTTGTCTGTAGTAAACTAAAGGAAAGAAATACCATGTAAAAAAGGTATAGTTATGTTCTGTGAACATATGTCTGCTCAAAGCTATGTTAAGATGTAAGTATGTCTTCATGCATTGTTGAAATATCCTAGATTCTTATTATTCTCATCTAAAAAGATAGACCAGATTTATATTTGACTTTGTTAAGAACTATGTGGAGTTAGTGTAGTGCAACAAAAACCCAAAATACAATATTTTGAAGCACAGAAATGATTGTTGAGTTCTAAGAAAGCAATGTAAAACTCGTTTTTCTTTTTTCTTTCTTTCTTTCTTTTTTTTTATTCTATAGCTATTTTGAGAAAGAAAGATTTCAGGGAAATGGAACCATAACTCCTAAATATGCATTCTACTTTAGAGATTATTTTCTTTGGCCATTTTATTATAATAGCTTTTATTTTATTGAATGATTATCTCCTTTTGAATTAATACGGGCTAGTTGTGAAAGGACAAAAAATAACTATAAGTGGTCTTTAAGGTCAAGGAAATGACAAAAATATTTAATATTGTTGATAAACACTTGTTAGTCCTTATAATAATTAAAAATTTAAAGTTATGTAGATTTGTCTGGTTTTTATGTTTTATGTTCTTTCCATTTACATCTCTCTCCCCTCCTCCCCTTCTCTCCCCTCTTCCTCCTCTTTCTTAAAATAATGATGTCATTTGCTAGATTTGCTAAACTTGGCAGTGAGCAGAGGAGTATGTGAAGTTTTAAGTGACATTCTTATACAATTCATTATGTCTCACTAAAATAGATTTGAGGGATTTAATTACTTTTTTCAAAATGAAATTGGTAAGAATAGTAGGAATGATGACCATTATTTTATTACTTAATTCCTTTAAGTTGTAGACATAGCCAGTATTTTTTCACATTCATTTTAGTTTGTATTTTATTCCATTTTTGATGATTAGAATATTTATTTACATATTAAATTAATTAGAAATGTTTTGATTTAGAGAATGCAGCACTCTGCTGATCTAATGAGTTTTATGATGGAGTTGAAGATGATTTTGGTAAGAATCTTTTCTTCTAATATTGTTACCATATTCTAAAGTCTTGCTTGTTTCCATAAACTTTTAAAAATCTCTTAGAATGTAAAACTTGTCAACTTCCAGTCATTTACTCTTTTATTTTACTTTGTGCATAAATGTGAATGGTACTTCCCTTGAATTGCATAAGGAAAGAACTATATGTAGGAATCAGTTTCATTGTATCATAAACTTGGTACCTTTCATACTAATGTTCGATAGATGCTAAAGAAATAAAATGCATTCTTGGCCTATGGGAGAATGTAACATCTAGGGAGAGATTAGATAATTATACTTAAAGATATAATAAGATGCATGAATAATTTTGCATGTAGCTGCAGATCCCTGAAAAACTTGTTGGACTTCATTAAATATATTCAGTTACAAACAATAGGTGTTTGGTCAGTTAATTAATTTTGCATAAAATAGTTGATTATTTAGTTTATCTTGTAGACATTGTTTACTTATAATCTTTTTATTACACAGGTCTTTAACATAAACAAAAGAGGAGAGAAGGTTATAGTGAATATCACGAGCCTGTAATCTAACCTTTACATATATTTTTCCTTCTACTTTTTTTTTTTTTAAGAAGAGACTCAGTGAAGACTCAGTGAACTTAATAATTCCTTATAGTGGCTTTGCTTGCATCAATATCCAAGTAAGGTCCACACAATATATTAATGTCTTTAGTCTTAAATAAGATTTATATGATATTTAATTTATAGTAATATCTCCCCTTCATCTTACCCTTTCTCTCTTATGTCATCTACTTGTTGAATAAACCAAATTATATATCCTATAAAATTTCTCACATTATAGATTTAGTTTGTTAGATATTTGTGGATTCTTTTTTAACAGTCTTCTATAGATTGAGCATTCCTTAGCTGAAAATCCAAAATGCTCCATAATCTCAGACTTTTTGAGTGCTGACATCATGCCACAAGTGGAAAATTTCACACTATGAAACTTGGTTGTTGCAGAAATTGTTAAATATTTTAAAAAATTGCTTCAAATTATGTGTATAAGGTGCATATGAAATAAATAAATTCTCTTTAAGTTTCAGCCTCATCCTAAAGATATCTTATTATGTATTTATAAATATTCCAAAATCTGAAAAAATTTAAAATCCAGAAACACTTCTTATCCCCAGCATTTTGAGAATAGGAGTACTCAACTTTTATCTTCTTTGTAATTTTGCAGTTAGATCTAGAGGTCCCAGTAGATTTGGATTCATTTTTTTTTTAATAAGCATACTCGGTGCTGTGTACTTATATTGCATTAAGAGTTACATGATGTCCCATAATTTCTCTTTTAATTAAGATTGATCAGTAGATTTAGATCCATCTCAGAGTTTCCCATCAGCCTCTGACAGAGTGATTTTAGCATCCAGTATTAATAATAGCCTAAATCCACTATTTCATTAGAATTTACAAATGGTGATATTTTAAAAATAATTCTGTCATCCGCATTTATTATCTGAAAATCTTCTGAAGAGAAGAACCCTCAATAGTTATTCGGTTAATTTGAGGTACAGCTCATACTAGAAGATAGGATAAGTGCTTGTTTCGTTTCCTTTTTTTTTTTTTTAAGATCAATTTTTAGAATAATGAGTTGGTGCCTAGCAACTGTTACAGGGAGCTAAAGATTTTTCTTTTTAGTGTCATTATGAACTCATGAGTTGTTATATATTCGATTAACTTTTATGCACTGTACTCATTTTCTTTTTGATGCTTAAATTATCCCACTTTTGGTTGGTGTAAGCCCCTTCATGTTGGCTTCTCAGTTCTTTTAATGTAACCAAACCTCCTATGCTCTAGCTTCATTTACTCATCTTACTCTAGAACTGTAATTCGACATTTCTCCAAAACCATAGATTTCTTTTGTGTGTATGTGTGAAATGGTATTGGGCTGCTGTGACTGGAAAGTGAAGTAATCATTGATATTACTAATTCTAGACTCTTTCAGTGGACAAAGCTAGGAAAAATACATTTTAGAAGAATTACAATTAATTATCCATTAATGTTGCTATTTCCAATTCAGATTTGGCATTGAGTTTTTACTTCTTTGTTTTTATGCTTGCATGTCTTTTACTTTGAAATATTGGTTTCTAATGATATTAGCATTATTACTTTCTTTGGTTATGCTTTACTTGTTATGTTTTTTTCTCCATATACATGTTTATTATTATATTTGCTTATATCAAAATTATAATACCTATATTGCTTCCAACAGTTGAAAGCACTTGGATATTTTTTCATGGTTTTCTTTGAGACTTTTTCATTTTTTGTAGCATTGCCACATGTTGAAAACTTAGTTGCTAGTTTTTTTTGAGTCATTTTAAAAAAATCCTTCTAATAACCCTCTGAGGTAGAACTTAAAAATGCTTGGGGTCAGAATAAAGAGATTAAAATTAATTTCTGCATTAAATTTCAAATTATGAATTTTTAAACCCAAAGTTGATTATAAATGTCATCAAAGACCATGATATAATAACCTTAAAAATGATCAGGTGAAGAAGTAAAGCATATTTGTTTTGTATCCTCTTGACACTGGAAAAAAGTTTGAAATTTTTCTCTTATCTTTTTTTTAATAATTTTAATGTTATACAAATATAGGGTCTGAGGGAACCAGAGTAAAACTATATACACTATTAAATTCTTATTACTAAAAGTAACTTTCTTGAGTTGTAAGTAATAGAGCTATTGGTCATGTCATTTTGAAGAAACATTTTAAGATGAGATATTAAAATTTATTTCTGATTTCCAGCATTTTACTTAGTATATTTGTGCTGCCTTTCTGAATAAAAAAGGAGAGCCCATATTTTATCATTCTTTATGAATCATAGTAAAATAGGTGATTTTATTGCTCATTCAAGATATTATACCTAAATATGTAAGAATTACTAGTCTATTTCTTAGGCTGTGTTGTTAGTAGTAGAATTCCTAGAATATAATCAACATTGGAGTTCTTAAGTGTGGTACCCAAATGAAATGAGTAGTTATTGAACTTATTCAGGATATTTTGTAAATCTCCTATGGATTTCCTAGTAATAACTGGGCATATTGTGGCAATTTAGTATATATGTTAAATCTTCACTACCAAGTCCCTTTGTCCCCTTTGTGAAAAGTGGTTGTCTCTCTGCCTTTTCCTTATTTTCTATTAAGGTTCTAAAGTAGGAGTAACTGTCCTGACCCACAGTGGAAGGCAAATGACATAAACCTAGGTTTGAAATACATTTTTATTGTCCAAGTTTATTTTTACCTTCAATATTTATGGATATTCAGCAATTAATATTTCTGAATAAAAAAACTTCAAAAGAAATACTGGGTAATTGTTAATTCAGAGAACTGTATTAACTCATTCAGTGACAAGTGGAGGATAATCTTAATAATACAAATTAATTTTGTGGCCCACCAAGCTATTTTTAGATAATATTAGACATTTAGGTCATAAAAAAGGCAGTGTATGTCTTTTCTCTTAGGAGCTTACCCTCTAAATCCATATTGATTTCTTGGCTTTACAGATCTGGTTTCATGGTTTTATCATCCTAAATTTTTTTCAGAATTAGATTGAAGTAGTTTCAGTTAATAGTTCTAATTCTGAAATTCTCTTTTGTAAAATATATTCTTTCTAGTATTACCTCAACTTAATAATATCCTATCCTTGTTAAATGAAAAAAGTATAAGGACAAATAATAATCTATATTTAATCTAAAACATATACTTAAAGGAATAAAATTTTCAGATTTTTATTGTGGTTATGTTTACCAGAAGTGTTCATAGTTTTTCAGCTTGTTCTCATCTATTATTGCTATTGTGACTAATTTTTTTTTGACTTTTTTTTTATATAGGTTGAGCATCCATTATCTGATATGCTTGGGAGAAGAAATATTTCAGATTTTGGATTTTTTCATATTTTGAAATATTTGCATATACATAGTAAAATATTTTGGGAGAAGACTCAAATATAAAGTGAAATAAAGACTCAAATATATTCCTTATATACATAGCCTAAAGGTAGTTTTAGACAATAGTTTTAATAATTTTGTGCTTGAAACAAAGTTTTATGGTTTGGAATTTTTCACTTGTGGTGTCAGGTCGGCACTAAAATTTGTGATTTTGAATTTCACATAAAGGGTGTTCAACTTTTAATATCTTTTGATAATCCTGACCATATGAATATTTAAGTAACTGTAGCTATATATGTTTTTACTTTTCACATGAGATACTTGTTGAGGTTGGCAACTTCAAAGTCACTGGTAATTTTTAGCCTCGCAATTCTGGTTTGTTTGCATTGCTTGTAAAAAGTTTACATTCTAGTTTAATTCATAAACCATTTTAAAGCCTTCATAAATGGGCCTAGCAAGGAAAAGGGACTGTCATCTAGCTAGCTGAATAACAAAATACCATACTTACCAGGTTATAGAGTAATACTGAATACAAGTCAATGAAAGAAATTTGCAGGTAGGTATTTGTTGTGATAATGCAGGTTTGTTAAGATGTAATTTATATCAATCTAGTTAATATAGTTAGAGTTCAGCCTTTTGTTTAAAGGCACCTGGTTTTTTATATCAAACATCATATGCATGGGATTAGAAAGATAGTGAAGCCTTGAAGATGAGTATTTTTTAAAATCTTTTTTCTAATAGGCATAATAGCCCAGGAGAATATTAAAACCTTAAGTTCTTTTCTTGGTATAAAAATTGACATTTCGCATGACCTTTATTGTATTCCTTTAACTTTTTCATGTAAAGGGGAATGGGTCACCTAGATTTTCTATAAAATAATGAACACTTTTGTTAGACACTAAGAAGATTATGATTCATGTTTTGTAATCAGGTACAATTCATTGTCTGGCATTCCACAACCGATTATTATTGTTTTTAAACAGGAAGTTGCTTTAAGGAATAGACAAGAGTTATACGCACTACCTCCTCCTCCCCAGTTCTATTCAAGCCTTATTGAAGAGATAGGAACTCTTGGTTGGGATAAGTATGTCTACATATGTTTTAAAAATTTCTTTGTTTTACACATTTCAATTTAACATATTTCCATTTTAGCAATTTATTTTATATGATTTTAGAAAAAGTGTCTTATTGTAATCAGAGAATCTGATTTTTATTGTTACTATGAATTAAAGGGGGGATATTTAAAAAAAATTGACCTGCAAAGCAAAATGTAATTTGGGAAAACATGACATTTTAATATACATGGTAAGATGTTATATGAATAGATATTTTTATTGAACATTTAGCAGTATTTTTGTTGAACATATAGCATTATTCTAAATGTTAGTAAATTATCCATGGTTGAAAAGTGATGCTGATAAATGTGAAAGAGAAAAATTATTATATTTTTGTTATATGTAGATATAGATATATGCAGAGAGATGTATATAGTTATATTTTTAGTTATTTTTTGGTTAATATACAGTTTGGCCTTTCTAAATTTAACTCCGTGTGTGTGTGTATACACACACACATGAATTTTTAAGTGCTTTTGTAATTTGAGTAGTATATTTTAGCAGGTATGATTTAGAAGAATCATGTAGCTTTTTTGAAAAAAGAGATGAATAAAAAATTTAAAACAAGTTCAATAGATGGGTATGCAAGTTGCTAAAACTTTATTCATCTATCACCTGAAAAGAGATCTGTGGTGATTTACTTGATTTTCAGTTGCTGAATTTATTTTATATGATTTTAGAAAAAGTGTTTCATTGTAATCAGAGAATTACAGAGATTATATATATACTTTAGTCAGACTTTTTAATTTTTTATAAGTACTTCTTAAATTTACAGTCTTTCTGGTTAATAGAGTTGGCAAATCTGTACTTAGGAGCCCTGAAGTTAAACAGTGATTTCTTGCTAAAAAGTACAACTTCAATTTTTAGCTGTTAAAACCTTTTTAAAATCATGATTACAATTAGTAGTGTTTCACTATGGATTGACTGCTTAAAGTTTGTTTAATAGTTACTGTATATGTTTTCCAAATTGGATCTTAGAACTGAACATCATGATTTTGGTCTCGTATGTAGTTACTTTTGAGGATGACATTGATTGGCATTAAGGAATGAAAAATGAAACAGTACTGTGAATTGCATTTGGGATTTTGTTTGGTGGTCTTGCTTTTTATATTTCAGCATTGTCTTCATGAGAAACTATGAAAGTTTTCTTCCGTTTTGATGTTAGAGAAGTCATACTTCTGAATATCTGATCTTTTATTTAATGAACAATATGAATACTTTAATTAAGCTGTTTTTGACATGGCCCCTAGGATGCTCAAGATCAAGTTTTTGGCCCACTGTAGAGCCATGCTGGATATATGATCTATCTTTCTGTATGCAAATATTATTTTCTGTTCTGCTATTTTTCTGTTGTTTCTTGTAAAGTTCCTGGAATTCTTTTTGGAACAAGTGGTATTTAAAATAAAAAGATCTAATTGTCTCTGATCTCTTACAGCCTGACTTTTATTCTGACATTCTCAGTGAAATTGCATTTATGAGGGCTGGGGTTGTGGCTCAGCAGTAGAGCGCTCACGAGGCCCTGGGTTTGATCCTCAGCACCACATAAAAATAAATAAATAAAATAAAGGCATTGTGTCCAACTATAACTAACTAAATAAATATATTTTTAAAAAATTGCATTTACAAAAGTTGACATTTATGTCCTTTGGACAAGTCTGGTCTTTGTTCTTGACTTTTTCTAGTATTTGATACTTTTAGCCAGTGTTTCCTTCTTAAAACTCTTTTTGTCTTTTATGACCATCCTGGATACTTCTTTGTCTCTTTCTCTCTCTCCTTTTTAAAAAATTATTTTCAGTCTGGCTCATATTTTTCTTCCATGTCCAAAATGTGAATGATCCTTTGTGGTCCTTGTTTTTTTTTTTCCCCTCAAAGAGATTAATCCGTCTTCTCCATTCATCTGCCACCTCTCTGTAGTTTGACTTCAGATTTTTTATATATTTACCAAGTTCCATACAAACATTTTGTATTAAAAAGTTTGGCTTCATCATCTCAAACAAGTTTCACCCACTCCCCCAATAAAATCAAAACAACTCTACCAGAGTTCTCTAATTGGAAGGCATTGGTTCTACACATGTTTTCAGTTATGTTGGGCATGACACATCTTGATGCTTTCCATGTATTTATTTCTAGAGTGTTATCAGGACCCTCTTAAATTTGTTATGATGCCAAGTACTCTGATGAGAGAATCTCTTTAATTTTGAATAGCTCTAATTACTGCATTAAATTCTCTTTCTGTTTTTTTTCTCTCTCTTTCTTTTTGATAGACTAGTTTTCTGCTTTTAACACCCTTAATTGAGTCAGCTATTAACCAATACATTTAAAAGTTTATATATTTGATATGGGGCCTCAAAACACATTCCTGTAGAAATTTCTTGAGTGGAAATCTGGACCTACAGAAACTGTTTCTGTAACTGAATTTAGCTGCTGGAATCTCTTAAAAATGGTTTGAGGAACAGAAGTAGTCATGTGTTTAATGAAGTAAAGAATGCACCTCTTGCTCATCCATTTTCTTGAACAACCACAGGCTGACTTATAGGCCTATAACTGGTTTTATATTTTTACCTATTCCTATGACCTATGTGTAGTTTCTTTAAACTTCAGAGTCCTACGGGTCACGTTCTGCTGGCGACTTACCATCTTCCCTCAATGCCTCTCTAGATTTCTGCGTCTCCCACTGGAACCTCTCCCCGACCAGTGAACTTGTTAATTGATTTTTAAAAATAAAGTGGAGAAATTTATATTCCATGCTGTTGAATTTTCCTGATTGCTTGGAACTCAAACGTGTTAATGTGTTGCCTTCTTTTTATTTTTTTTTGCTTTTGCTTAAAATCTTGTCTCAGTTCAACAAGGCAACTACTTATTCTTTCACAAGAAACTGGTAAAAGAGGAATGAGGGAAGTAGGTTAATTTGGGGACATTTTAGTTAATGAATCTTTGATCACTTTCTCCTATTGGCACTTTTTCAGTGTTTGCCCTTGTTTATTCAGGCTGCCGTACTATACCTAATAAGTTTTTGTTCAGTGTTAGTGCACATAAAAATGTTGAGAGGTTCCATTTGCTACTGTTCCCCTCCCCCATAGTGGGTTTCCCTTTTCCTTTGCTGGGAAGATAGAGTTGGGGATGACTGCCATGGGGCCCATGAGTTCAGAGCAGTTTGTTATTTCCACAGGGTCAATCTCTTCTCCTTCTCCCGTTTCAAGCAAAAGCCAGGTATATTCATTGTGATTTCTCTCTTGGTAGATTCTAAACTCTATACTCTGTTTCTCCACAAGACCAATTTACCTCTCAATTAGAGACCATTTTTGGCAAGGCTCCACCTACCTCTTGTCTGCCTTGCTTTTAAGAGTATCTCTTCAAGGGTTCTCACTGAGATGTCAGGGGTATTCATTTGGACTTTGTCCCACACACAGACTCTAATTCTAATTAATCTCTCCTGAGTATCATGAGCTTTCTAAATATTTTCCTTTGTTTTTCAGTTTGGCTTATTACCCTCTTGTCTCCTATAGTTTTAAGGATTGATCAGAAGTTTTGAGGGAAAATTGGCAGAATATGAGGCCAAGTTCTCTGGTCCTACCATTTTACCACATTCTGACCCTTCAAGTCCGTTATTTTTATCCCTGTCCTCAAGAGATTGCCAAAAATGCTGCTAGTTTTCTTGTTTGTTTGCTTCTTTTTCTATTTTTTTGGCTACTTCATAGCACTCTCTGTCTGGGCCCTTTGCCCAGATCATTCTCTTCTTGCCCTGTGCCCAGAATTGATAAATATGCTCAGGGGAAAATGGCTTCAGAGTGTTGGCTTACTTCTCTTTTTTAGGACTTTGGCCCTTCAAGTCCCAGTTAGCTTAGCAATTCTTTGATGCCTTTTCCTTTTCCCAGGCTATTTTAGTTGCTAACAGAGGTGTTGGTCTGTTTCATTTTAGCCAGAAATGGATATTACATGTAATTTAAAATGTACTATTATCATGATGTTGAGGATTAATTAATGTTTATTCATAACAGGCTTTATATTTATGAAGGTACCATTCCTGACTAGAATTGGGATGGATCTGACCTTTTTAATAAAAATAAGCTAATAATGGAGGGGAGAGATAGGAAACACAAGCAAAATTTTAGACTCTATAGCAGCAGTTTCAATTGAGGTTATGAAGATATGTTTTGAGCCATTGATGTCATGGATTCACTCATTCTTCAGATACAGATCGATGGAACAGAGAAAAACTATTCGTATTATTTTTTAGCTGCTTGGTTTTAAATCTTAGTGTTCAGAGGATAGTTGGGAGTGCAAAAAGGGTTTGGCAAAGGGGGAGGAAATGTTCTAGTTTTGTTTGGATTATATTGATAGAGTGAGTTTAAGGCAGTTTTCCAAGTGGGATCTGACATTGTTTGGAAAAATCCAGTAGCAAAATTGGTTGAATCATTGAGGATGCAAGATGAGATTTTGGAATCATTCAGTTTTTCACCCAGCAATTATTTATTGAATGTCTGTGATGCAAGGTAATGAAGATACTTAGGCAAGACTTAAGATTCTTATGGAACTTCAGTCTAGTGGAAAAGTTAGAAATTAAGTGGATGATCATAGTAGTACTTAATTTTAACTGTGAGAAGTACTATGGAGTGTAATTATAAGATTTCTTGAGAGCCATTAGCAGCAAAGTTTATAAGAGAAATAGAATATTTTATGTAGGGTTTTAAGAGATAAATAGAAAGTGCTGACTTTGGCATTATATCCATTGTTCTAATGTGGGAGAAAAAAGAACAGATTTCTAAATTGATAATAAATAAAAGGCAAAAGTAAGGATATGAATGTGTCTGCCAAAAATCATTCATTACAGTATAATTGCTTATCTCCTCTTTAGATTTAGATTGTTTCACATAGGACTGCTTTTTATGAAGTTTCTGTTTTGTGTCACTCAGTGTACTAGCTGCTTTTCATATTCTTATTTAATTCTCAGAATAATTTTCAAGATGTA